TGATTGCATTTTATCCCAGGAGATTCTGACTTTCCTCATTTCTTCTCTTCCCATCAGGATAAGGTCTCTGCTATCCAAGACATGAGATATCTTGTGGGTGCTATAAGGTGAGGTCAGATTTCCAAGTCAGAAGGCCCTACTTTCTGCAGCCTCTGCAGGATAAGGCCTGTTTGGCCTTTTACCCAGGCCTTTACCTCAGCACTCAGAGACCATTCCCAGGTCTCAAGACAAGGCCTTGGACCACTGGCTTTTGCCCTCACCTCACACCATGTTGGGGGAGTTCAGAAGAAAAGGTGCTTCTTGAGGGAGAAATTTATATAGAAATATCCACCACCCAAGAAATAGACTGCCCATATTTCAGAGGTAAGCTTTTTTTTTTCACCCTCTTCTTTTGGTCTTTAGCATTGTTTCCAAGTTACTAGCAACCTGGTCAGCTGTTGAGGTTAGGCAAGAAAGTCTAATGCTTTGGGAGTCCCTCTTTCATTAACGGCTTCTGGGGACTCCTTTTAGGAGACAGTGTGGTCTTGTGGACAGTGTTAACTGGATGGAGTCAGGAGACCTCACACACTGTCATGGTGTGAGGCCTCCAACTTCTTAATTTCTCAGTTTCCCCAATTGGAAGGATAGGGGAAAGTGAATGAGGTAATGTCTGAAGTACAGTACTTGGAATTCTTTGGAGATGTGAGACACAGAAACACTGGGGAGTGGTATTGCTCTGCTTTTTCTGTGATATTGCTTCGGGGAAAGGAGGGGCCATTAGGAGCTTCTTCCAGAAAAGGCCTTGGGACAGCTTCATCTGCCATCTTCTGATTCTACTCTGAGGTCAATTTGGAGGTTCCCAGAGCAGTTTTCTTCCTTTTCTCTTCACTGTTCTGGTCAGGAGAGAGTCCCATCAGGTCAAGATGACTTAATTGTGGTTCTGATGAAAAGCAATGGGTTGATGAGGCTGCTTGGTATAACAGGAAGAGTATAAGACAAGAGTCATAGTTTTAGAGCTGGAAGGGATCTCAGAGAATATCAAATCCAAACTTTAATTTGATGAGGAATGAGAAAACTGCGGAGTAAAAAGGTAAAGTGATTTGCCCAAGGTCACACAACAGGGAAAGAGCTGTGTCTAGAAATCATAGTGATAACAGATTTCTATACAGTAGTTTACAGTACACAAATTGCTTTCCTCACAGACAAGCACTATTATTCCAGATGAGGAAGCTGAGTCTCAGAGTGGTGAAGTGACTTATCCTAGATCATACAAACCAGAACCCGAGTCTTCTGATTTTCAGTCCATTGTCCTTTCCTCTGATCTTGACTTTTATGCTTTGACCCATAGGTGACCTTGGGCAAATTATTCGTGAGCCTCCCTTTCCTTATGAAATGGGTATGTCCCAAAAGGACAGAGGTTTGACCTCAGAGTCAGGGAGACCTTCATACAAATTCTGCCTCTGATACTTGGAACGTGGAGGATGTAATGGAAGGAATGTCCTAACCGTCCAACCCCATGCAAGTTAGGCTGGTTTTTTCCCTAAAACATATTGAAACCATCCTGGAGATGGATTGGCTCAAGAAGACAACTAGCTTAGATTATTAACATCACTTAGTTACCTGAGGACAAAGTAGATCTGAGAAGCTCCTGGTGTGTCCCACACGTGGCTGGAAGACCATAAGAGGCTGTTCAAAGGCAGGGAAGCTTCCCTCAGCTGAATGCTCTTGGGGTATCCTTTTCCTGCCGTGGCTAAGTAAATCTCCATTTGCCAACAGTTGAATGATTTCCAAGTGTCTCATTTCATTCCGATATCAAACATAAACCACCAAGAGACTGGCCTGCCCGGCCCAGAACAGAGCAGCTGGTTAGTTATGCCGTACCGGCCTATGGACATTATAAGTCCCATGTTGGGACCACGCCTAACACTCAGTCAAGCAAAGAGCAATGAATTTAGCCTCAGAGTAGGCTGCTCTGCTCCCCAACTCTCTTCTCTGGGTGACCGTGTGACCCTAGAGGCAAGTCACTTAATCTCTAAATGCCCCAGGGAACTTTCTAATACTGTAAGTTCCAGAAAAGCTGCCCATTGACACCAATAGAGAGAATTATCTCACTGGGAGTTTCTTATGATAATGATGTCACAAGTCCAGAAAAAATATTATTGATAATAATACCAGCCCAGCTACTCATGGGGCTATTGTAAGGAAAATCCAATGAGATGAAGCATGTGGAAGGGCTTGGAAAATTCCAGCGTGGAAGACTTGTATGAACTGATGAATAGCGATGTGAGCAGCACCAGGAGAACACTTTATACAATAACAACCATACTGTAAAGACAAACTTAGGCACAATGATCGATACAAGGACCGACCACGGTTCCAGAGGACCCATAATGGATGAAACATGCTAGCCCCACTCCAGGTAGAGAGCTGATGGACTCAGAGTCCAGATTGAAGCATATTTTCTGCCCTTTTTTTTTTTTAAGATTTGGCTAATTTGGGAATTTGTTTCACTTGAGTGAGCACACATCTTTGCAATCGGTTTTTGTTTTTCTTACCTTTTCAGTAGGTCAAGAAAGGGGTTGTGGGAGGGAAAGAATTCAGATCAGAAAATAAAATAAAATTGAATGAAAAAGAAAAGAAAATTCCAATGTGCATTAAAATAGAATGCAAAAGGTTTTTGTGACCCCTTACGATTCTTTCTCCGATTTTGTGATTTTGTCATCATTCTCATTTCACAACATTTTAGATCTAGAAGAGCCCCTAGAGATTACCCGGTCCAAACCTTTTATTTTACAGAGGAAATTGAGGGCCAGAAAAATGAAGCAACTTGCCCAATGTCACCCAGGTAATGTATGACAGAGTGAAGATTAAAACCCTGACTTCAAATCCTGGTGCCCTTCAACTGCCCCTCCAGTGTAGTCCTATCCATGGGTGCTTGACAGGTCTTCACTTACTCTATTCAGTAACCTCTGAGATGGGCCAAACATAGCAGGATACATACTTTGTACTTGCAGTCAGAAGACCTGGGATCTGATCCCATCTCTGTGCCATTTACTCTCTTTGTCACTTTGGGCAAGGCGCCTCAGTTTTCTTCTCTGTAAAAATGAGGGCGCTGAACTAGATGACCTATCAGATCTCTTTCTCATACAGATCCTGTGAACTCTAGGTGACTTCACGGTAAATGTCAGAAGCAGAATTGAAACCTGGGTCCTTTGGCGCCATAGAATGGTGATGGAACATTTATATGGCAACATTTATGTTGGCATAGTGCCTGGCATATAATAAGCACTTGATAAATGCTTCTTTCCTTCTTTCCTCCGTGCAAATATTATTTGATTCTCACAACAGCCTGGGAGGTAGGTTTGCTATTTTTATCACCATTTTACAGAGGAAGAAACTAAGGCAAATCAAAGGTGAAATGACTTACACAGCTAGTAAGTGTCCGAGACAGCATTCTATTTCAGGTCTTCCTGATACCAACTCCAGCACTCTATTCCTTTTGTCATTTAACTGCCTCTACCATGCTCTTTCTGCTACCCCATGTATCCTCGTGAAAACATTTATGGAATGCCCACGAGTGACACAGTGCTAGTGAGGCCATGCCTAGTCACCAGAACAAGGAAGGAGACCATGTAGTAAGAGATGGCTAGGGTCACCAATTCATGTCCATGAAGGCAGCCCCTGACTCAAAGGAATTCTGCTGACATCTGAATGTACTTTTATCTGACCTATTTGGGACAGCTAGATAGAGAATGCTGGACCTGGAGTCGGGAAGACCCTGGGCAAGTCACTTAACTTCTCTTTGCCTCAGTTTCCTCATCTGTAAAATGGGAATAATAATAGCACCTACCTTCTAGGGTTGTTGTCAGGATCAAATGAGATAATAATTATAAAGCACTTAGCGCAGTGCCAGGCCCATGGTAAGTGCTATATAAATGTTAGCTATTATTATTATTATTACTTATTTATGATTAGTGTATTCAAAAGTACCTAGGTTTTGCTCACCCCAGATGGCACGTCCATAAAAGTCTCTGACTTCCTTTGTCTACTTCAATATAAAACCACACGGTTCCTGACATCTGTGAGCCATCCAGCAGTCTGGTAATGTCTGATTCGTAGAATACATGAAAGTGACTTTAGAGGTCCTCTAGCCCAATTCTTTCATTTTTCAAATGAGGAAACTGAGGCTCAGAAAGATTAGGTAATTCCCCCCCTCCCCCACCGCCATGGTGGTAAATTGGTCAATCTGCCACACAGGCAGAGCTGGCGATTCCTACCCAAGTACGTACCCAATATTATTCCTCCTGTAGCACACCGCCATCCTTCCCCCAAGCTTCCTGGGAGTGGTTCCTGCGCAGCTTTATCTCTCTAAGCCAGACAAAGACAAGGAACCAGCAGAAGGGAATGAAGCAAGATGCTTGTGTCTTTTTGTGCCCTTCTTGTATGAGTGAGTCTATCCACTAAATCTGTTTGTGTACCCTCCATAAAACCCATAGCTAGACCAACGGAGTGTGGAGTTTTGTCTCTGTTCCTTGAAATCTCAGACCTTACTAGCTGGCACAGCTGGGCGCCATCCAGAGTGAATGAAAACACATAGGGTCCATTCTCTGAAAGGGGTGTACAATTCAACAAAAACTGTGATCGAGCTCATCTTCCGTGCAAGGTCATGTTCTGGATATTGTATGATCTGAGACGTTCTGTGGACAGATTTGTAAGAGTCCTTAAGACAACTCAGTAGGCAGATGGGTTACCTGGCACACAAACACCTTGGGAAGGTGTCGGAATCTAGGGAGTTTGTGTCTAGGCAGGAGGGTGCCAGGGGAGACTTCTCCTTCTCTCCCACCTTGCTCCCTGCTCATTCTCCTCATTTCAGGGCAATGAGTCATGGAGCGACTTGGCATTGAGGCTGTGGACAGAACCAAGGGATAGTATTCAACTACTTAAATGCCAAGTCCTCGGCTGTTATTTCCTGCTGGCTTTCCCTGTCCCTCGGGACACTAATACTCCTGATTTTTTTATAGGCTACCCCCTTGAAAATCTGTCTTAAACAAAGCCCTCATGGAGCTAGTTGCAAGAGAGACAGCCTGACATCATGGCAAGAGTGCTGTCCCAGACATCAAAAAGTAGGAGAGCTGTGATTTGGATTTAGAGGACCTGGATTTGAATCCTGACTCGTGACACTTACTAGCAATGTGACCTTGGGTAAGTCACAGCCTCTTTGAATCTCATTTTCCTCACCTGTAAGGACAGTGACACAGTATAAAGACAGCTATAACTGTATTATTCAGGCCACAGGTAGTTGTGAGGAAAGCCTTTGCAAACTATAAAGCACTATAAAAATGTAACCCTATGGTTATTATAGGATTTGGTATGGGCACTCTTTTTTTGGTATTTGACAGTCTTTTTACCCCTTCAGAATTACTAAGGACATATTCTGGGGGCATTTTATTAGAGGCGTACAGAATCATGGAATGTTTAAAGCTACAAGAAGCGTTAGGGATCTATTCCAACTTTCTTGTTTTATAGGGGAGAAAACTGAGGCCCAGAGAGGCTAAGTAACTTCCCTAAGAACACACAGCAAGTTAGTCTCAAAGAACCTAGGCTAGAATTAACGACTCCTGACTCCAAGTTCAGGGCTCTTCCCGCTACGCTATGTTTTTGTAATGCTTCATATCAGCACAAGGGCTTTCCTAGCAAGATGAAGATAATAATAATAATCACATTTCTCTAAGAACTTGCAGTTTCAAAGTGATCTACTCACTACAACTTGGTGGGAAAAGTGTAAGAATTATTATTATTATTATTATTCCCATTTTGCAGATGAGGACACTGAGGCTTAAAAGGGAAGTGAATTGTCCCAGGTCAGTATTTGGTAGGGATGGGACAAAATCTGAGGTTTTTAGGATTCTGTGTCCCATATTCTTCTGCAGCGATTCCTCCCTATAATCAAGACAAGATCAAATTCTTACTTTTTTTTTTAAGGCAATTGGGATTAGGTGACTTGCCCAGGGTCACACAGCTAGTAAGTGTCAAGTGTTTGGTCTGAGTCCAAATTTGAACTCAGGTCCTCCTGACTTCAGGGCCCGTACTCTATCCGCTGTGCCACCTAGCTGCCCTTAAATTCGTACTTTTGTCTCGAGACACAAAAGTAGATCCAGATCAGAGAAGAGAATAAGGTCATATGGGAAGTGGCTGGTAACGCTGGGATCAGAACACCAGGGTTCTGATAGGCAGGGGGTACTGGAGGAGGGACGGAGCCCCGAAGGTTCCCAGGGTACCACACTTTCTTGCTTCACACAAAGAAAGCGGTTTGTTTAGCTGGAAACCCCTCGATGTTTCATAAATATTGTCAGACGTTTAAACTGTGTTTAAGAACCACCAAAAATCCCATCCCAATGTGTCACCTAATCCTGTCTCTGCCTGGGAAGGCAGGTGGTAGAGAGGAATTGGCGGGGTGGAGGAGGATGGCACTCGCCACTGTAGGGGGCCAGGTGGTGGAGAGGCAGAAGAAGGAGGAGGGGATGAGAGGGGTCTCAGGGCTGGGAGAGAGCACCAGTCCACCTTGGGTGCCACCAGGCCCTAGGAGCTTCCTTGGATTTCTGTACATTCTTTAGTGAGTCTGAGATAGCATCCCTTAGAGGCAGAGCCAGTGCTGACTTATGGGCTTTGTATTAGAGAAGACAGACAAGTGGTAGCTAGGTGGCGCAGTGGATAGAGCACCAGCGGGGGAGTCAGGAGGACCTGAGTTCAAATCCAGCCTCAGACCCATAATGCTCACCAGCTGTGTGACTCTGGGCTTAACCCCAATTAACCCCAATTGTCTCACCAAAAACAATCAAATAAATAAATAAATAGATAGATAGATAGATAGATAAATAGATAGATAGATAGATAAATAAATAAATAAATAAAAAGACAAAAAAAATAGATAGGACAGACAGTGGTGTCACGAGGTCAGGTTCAGGTCTTCCCTTCCTTCTGCTACTCTCAGACCAGCGGAGAATGGGCAAATCTCTTTCTTTCTTGGAGTCTCACTTTGCCCCCTCTATGAAATGAGTCTAATAGCACTTCACTATCCTGCTGGGAGAAAAAGGACTTGGTAAACCTGAAAGCATTATAAAATATGAATGACTATTGGCCCCCATTCCCTGCCTCCCCATGAGGTTTGAAAATCTTCCTCCCTGTGTGTTAGTGACCTGTTCTAATGCTTGGGAGTCATAGATTGTTAGCACTGGAAAGGTCCTCAGACGTCATATAAGTCAGAGGTGTCAAACACAAGGCCTGGGGCCGCATTGCACCCCTATCACTCGAGTGTGAATGTGGCCTAAACCAGATTAAAATGTAAATGGGAAATATTTAATAAAATAAATAAAAATGCAGTTGAACATAGATAATGTTAATATGTAGTTTTCTAAGTTACTGTGCAACAGCAGAAATATTTATGTATGGTTTAGTTGCCCCATTTTTATTTAACACCACTGATGTAAGTCACATGCTTTCATCTTGTAAAGGCCCAGAGAGCCTGTTATTTGCCCAGGATCACACAGCTAGTTAGAGTTGGAGTTGAAACTGAAACTCAAGCCTTATATCTCTTTCCCCTATGTTTTTTCTACCACAAAATAAAGACCTGTCTATCCTAGGAAGTGGAATTTGGGAGGACCTATGATGAAAGATACTGTCCACCTCCAGACAACTAATCAACTCTGAGTACAGATGGAAGAATATTTTTTCATTTTCTTTATTTTTCTTGCTCTTTTTGTACAATGTGGTTAATATGGAAATGTGTTTTGCATGATTTCACAGGTATAATTGATATCCTATTGCTTGCCTTCTCAATGGGTGGGATCAGAACCGGAGAGAGGGAAGAATTTAGAACTCAAGATGTAAAAAAATGAATGTTAAAAATAAAATGATTTTTTACAAAAAGTAAAGTGGAATTTGGGCCATTAAAATGTGTGCATTTATACAAAATATTCCCCAGTGCACCTATCTGGATAGAGCTATAGATCTCTGAAGTGTTAAGCTCTTCATTCTGCCCCTCATTGTGTTGACCCCTAGTCAACTGCTACCCATGTCTAATTTTAGTACTGTTTTGTACACTATTGTGTGTTGTGTAAATTGTAAGGTGCTAGCAACATGGGAACCATTATCCTGGTTGTTATTGTTGGGGGAGATGTCTTCTCTGCTGGTCCCACATTATTCCAGGGGGAAGGGTTTTCTTTTAGCATCTAGAGCAGATGTGACAAATGTGAAGCAGAACCTGATAATTTATTTATAGAACCAAAGTGCTCAGGCTGGAAAAGGGTCATCAAGAGGTCATCTTATCCATCCCCCTGCCTTTCAGCAAGACTAAACTTTCCCAGGCAAGGGAGTATTTAGTCTGCTTTTGAAGAGTCCTGGAGAAGGAGACGCCCCAACCTCTCCCAGGAGTCCTCTCCAGTGTCTGGGAAACACATGTCTCAGGCTATTATGTCCTAATAGCTAACCTGACCCCCTTCCACTGCAGATTCAGAACCCTATGGTGGGAGAAACATCCATTCATTCAGTAAACACTAATTAAATGCTTATTTTGTGCAAAGCCCTGGAATAGGTGCTGGGGGTGAGGCAAAATTCAGATAAGGCATAGTCTCTGCCTTAATAGAGCTTATTATGGAGGATAAGATGCAAATACAGATAACTATCATTTGAAATGTTAGCTAATAAGTGCGGTTAAAAGGTGCAAAATATAGTGGGGTTGGTACTGATGTGACAGGGGGAGGGGAAGGAGATGGGCAATGCCCTCCAAACATCCCTTAAACCTCCAGGTATATCAAAGGACTGCATATCCTTGGACCCCAACCAATTCACAAATAGGCCTGCAAAGAAGGCTTTGTGCTCTGTGAGCAAAGCAGAACTGCAGTAGTGCAAAAGAAGCGTGAAATGGACCAATTTAGAGACTTCTCTACTCCAAATGTTCACATGGAAGATTCTTGCCCAGCCCATGGTGGAGCCTTCTGAGCTCAGATTAGTCCAATCGTCCGCAATTGGACACACTGTACCTTGACCCCGACATAATGGTGTCATTTTGGTCCTCTCTGAGTGACATGCAAGGCCTGCTTTACTCTCTCCAGTTTTCTGATCAGTTTAACCACTTTCACAGTTCCCCTCCAGGAAATGTGGGAGACCCTTTGGATGGGTAGTGAATGGGGCACTATCCCAGAAGTTAGATGGGAGAGGAGACAAATCCCAGGAAGGAGGGAATGAGACAGAATTTGCTCCAGGATAGACCTTAGACTTCTTCCTAAAGCAACTACTAGCTATGTGTCCTTACTCAGAGTGATAGTGAGACTCAGGTGAGACAACGGATAGGAGTTAATTGTAAGTGCAAGCATATACTATATTATTATTATTCTCATGTGCAACTCAGTCCCAGCATGGCCACATAGACAGCAGCACGTCTTGACTAGGACGCTTTTAGGGTCCTTGGCCTAACCCTGTTGAGAAGGGAAGACGCTTGGCAAAGATACTATCTGGGGTTGGAGGGTGGGTGCTGGTGAATGGAGGAAAAAGAGGTCTTGGAAAAAAATGTTAGCAAAAGGAATTACAGCTACTGGTAAGAGAAAAAGGGAAGTTGGGCTACTGAGGGAGGGGGTCAGCCTCAGTTTCTTCAACTGTAAAGTAGGGATAATAATACTTTGCATAATACCTCACATGACTGTGTGTTGGCGCTCAAAGTGGACCAAAATGACACCGTCATGTCAGTGTGTCTAACTATGGATGATTGGACTAATTTGAGCTCAGAAGGCTCCACCATAGGTTGGACACTAATTGTCCATATGAACATTTGGAGTAAAGAAGTCTCTAATCCAGTTGATGTCTTAAAACTTTTTGCTCTTCCCAGTTTTTCCTCTACTTCTCTTATTTGCTTCTCAAAATCCCTTTTGAGCTCTTCCAAGGCCTGGGATTGATTCACATTTTTGTTGGAGGCTTTGGATGTAGGAGCTTTGACTTTGTTGTCTTCTTCTGGTTGTATGTTTTGATCTTCTTTGTCACCAAAGTAAGATAATATAGTCTGACTCTTTTTGCACTGCTTGTTCATGATCCCAGCCAATTACTTGAGTTTTAAACTCTTCGTTAAGGTAAGAGTCTGCTTCCAATGTGGAGAATGTACTGTCCCAAGCTTCAGGGGTTTGTACAGCTGTTTTCAGAGATACTTGTAGGGACCTGTAAATTTTCAGTTCTTCCAAGGAGGTATGATAAGGGCCGAGGTGTTTATTCCTTTCCTGGCCTGTGCTCTGGTCTATTAGTGACCACAAGTACTCCTTTCTGTCCTGTAACTGTGAGGAGGGTTTTCTCTTCATGGCCACTACAAGCTCCAACATACCAGTGCTCTTCCTCACCCCAGGACCACCGCCCAGAACTGTGACCCAGATCCAAGCACGGGCAAAGCAAGAGATTCCTGCCTCAGCACTGGCCATCCCCCTCTGATCAGCCACTGGATTCCCCCTTAGTCTGTGGGCCGGAAGCTCAGGAGGCAGCTGCCCCGCCCAGGGCCATGCTCTTGGGGAACTGGATCTGAAACCCTGAGTTCCTCTCTCAGCACTGCAGAAACAGACTTTTCACACTGACCTTCTAAGTTGTCTTTGGCGTTGGTAGATTGAGGAGTCTGGAAACTGGGACAGCTGCCCGTGATTCAGTCCTCTGAGGCCTGCTCCAGGTTCATGGTGCCAAGCTAGGCTCCTCTCCCAGCATGGTGCAATATACCCTTCTGATCAATCACCCAGGTTGTCTTGGGCTGGAAATTTGTTTCACTCTGTCTTTTTGTGGGTTCTGCTGCTTTAGAGCCATTTTTTATGGGTATTTGGAGGGGTTTGGGGGAGAGCTCAAGCAAGTCACTGCTTTTACTCCATCATCTTGGCTCCACCCTCTCATCTTAAAACTTTTCATAATGGGATGCCCATCAATTGGGGAATAGCTGAACAAGTTGTGGTATATGAATGTAATGTAATGGAATACTATTGTGCTATAAGAAATGATGAACAGGCAGACTTCAGAAAAACCTGAAAAGACTTATATGGTCTGATGCTAAGTGAAGTGAGCAGAACCAGGAGAATGTTGTACACAGTAACAGCCACTTTGTGAGATGACTAATATTGATAGACTTAACCCTTCTCAGCATTACAAAGATCTAAGACATCTCCAAAGGCCTCATGATGGAAAATGCTATCCACGTCCAAAGAAAGAACTATGGAGTTTGAATGCAGATCGAAGCATGCTATTTGCTCTTTTTTTCTCTTCTGTTTTATTTTGTTTTCTCTTTCTTGTGGTTCCTCCTATTGGTTCTAATTCTTCCTTACAATATCACTAATGTGAAAATATGTTTAATAGGAATGTGTATGTACAGCATATATCAGATTGCACACTGTCTTGAGGAGGGAGGCAGAGAGGAAGGGGGAGAAAATTTAAAACTCAAAACCTTATGGAAGTGATTGTTGAAAACTAAAAATAAATTAATTAAAAAAAAAAAACCCTTTTCATAATGCTGGCACTGGGCCCTAGGATCAACACCTTGGTTCTCCTGGGATATGTCTGGCTATAATGAGAACTGATTGTTTAGGTGTCTGTGTTGAGGGTGGGGGATGGGGGGGTATTGGTGCCCGTGTCCCTCTGAGGGACTTCCCTAACCTGCGTCCCCTCTCTGGGATATCCAGTAGCTGAGAAACAACGGTGGGCTCCATTAATTGGCCCTCCCCTTGCCTGTCTCCACCCCCCTCACCCAAGGGCAGCCTGTGGTCCCTCTGGGCCAGAGGGAGAAGCAGTAAACTCAGCAACAGCAGCACTGACGTCTCTGTTTATTTTGAGCTCCAAATAATTAGCGCTTTCAGAAAAAAACCTACCACACTTGCTGGCCTGACCAAGGAAAGGAGGAGGAGGAGGAGGAGGAGAGCACCTGCAAACATAGCTTCTGCCAGGAGGGATAGGTCCTGAGGAGGGCTGCTGGGGATGGGGCTTACAGAACTTTGCTGGGCGCTGGATTCTCCAACCTCAGCTCCCTCCTCAAGTGTCCTAACAGGGGGCTCCTAAGGCCCTTCAGGATGTCCTAGTAATTGGGATTGTTGATGGAGGAAGCGGAGTGGTTAGGTGAGAAGAATGCTGGCCTAGGAAACCTTGAAGCCCAACCTCAAATTCCTGCTTTGCCACTAATTAACTCTGGCCAAGCTGTCTCCCCCCTTCCTGGGCCTCACATCCTCATCACCAAATAGGGATAACAATCATAGGATCTTAGATTTGAGTTGGACTTTAATGAATGTGGTAGAACTGAAAAGCTGAATCAGGAAGAAGAAATTCCAGCCATCAGGGGGAGCATGAGCAAAACTAGGGTGACTTAGGGTGTTCGTGGTAGAGAGGAATTTATCCATTTTGGCAAAGCAGAGAATATGAGGAAGGGTCATAGGATGGAAAGCCAGATGAAACCTTGAAGATCTATCTATTCTAGGCTTCTCTGCTCCCCTATCTTATTTTACACAGATGGGGAAACTGAGGCTCAGAGACCTAAGTGACTTGCCCAGGGTCACCCAGTTAGTAAGTGTCTGAGGTGGGATTTGAAATCAGGTACTCCTGACCCCAATCCACCACTATCCACTTTACTATGCAGCTTTTCTATCCAGACCCTGCTTAACTGGAAGAGGTGTAGTGAGGCTTAAATGTGTCAAAGGGTATGAAAGTGTTACCTAAGTGTGAGGTATTTTAGTCTCTTCAAACTCTTCCCCTCCTATGTACCGAGAAGGGGTGGGAGTAG